CCCTGTGCCCCCTTCCCCCCCCCCCCCCCAGCTCGCATATCCTAGCATGAGACAGCACTCCAGGATGCAGGGGGCAGCAGAGCGCTGAAAATAATGTTTCTGGGGTTATTTTTGCTACATTTAAATAGATAACTGAAATTTCCTGAAGTGTACACAAGAAGGCAAGGAGCCGTCTCAGCTACCCTGACTTAGTAAGTGCAACGGGAGGAAGAGGTGAAGTGACAGGAGGCCTGCGCCCCACGCTGGTGCCATCAAGACACCGTCCAGGCTCGTGGCTGGGCCCCTGCTTCTCCCGCAGGGCTCACGCCCTGTCTGGAATGAAGTCCTGGTTCATGAAAGTAGCTTACAGGATTAAGGCGCTCCTGTTCACCCCTTCATAAACCTAGCAATAAGACATAAAGCGGGTAATCGTGGCCTCGGACAGGCTCCCTTCCGCTGGGAGCGTCACTGGGCTATTTCTGGCGCTGGTCACGGACACAGCCTCCTCCGGGAAAGTCATCCTCTTGGCAGTGTGCACCGAAACAGCTGCCAGCAGAGGGCGCTAGAAGACACCGCAGGAGGGAGCGGCCTCCGGGCTGCCTGGGGGCGCACCTGGCCGAGGGCGTTCTGGGCAGCAGGCTCCTGCAGATCCCAGGCACAACGCCAGCAGCAGCTCCCGGCTCGGGGCCCTGGGGGCTCTGCAGCAGAGTGCTCGGGCTCCTGGGTGCACAGCAGCCAGCAGCACCCACCCCCTAGACAGTTCTCAAGGGATGGCTTAGGTGAGATGGCTTCCCTGGCACTCTGCAGGGAGGCTCCGCCCCAGAACAGCCTTCCCTGGTGCCTTGGGCAGGACCCGCCCCAGGAAGAGCCTTCCCTGGTGCCTTGGGGAGGACCCAACCCTGGAACAGCCTTCCCCGGCACCCTGTGGGGAGGATTTCTGGCATTGCTGTACTACCAACTCTGCTACCGGGTAAGCCCTGGTGGTGTCCTAGAACACCCAGGGTGGGCCCCTATGTGGGTGCTCTATCAGCCCTGGGACAGGTGTTCCTTAAGCAGCTGTTCCTGCACTCACTCTTCTGATTCGCCAGTCCCTTATTATGCCCTATTAAAGAGCTTACCTTCATACTGAATTCTTGTTCAGATCAGTGTGTGGGACTTCTCTCCTTTTTTAAAATAGAGAGCTATTTTGCAATAGGGCACATGTGCTCACCAGAGACAGACACAGTGAGAAATCACCCCCCGGGAGGATGGCCAGGCCGCAATCCCTTCCCCTCTATTCTCCTCTCAGGATCTTGGGCATATGCACCGGCATGAGTTTTAAGTCACAGGGTCTGGGGTTTGAACCACGGCCAACTACGTGGGAGTCCAGTGACTTAACCCTTACGCCATCCTCTGGTCCCCTTCTCTCCTGACTGAACCTAGACCGACAGAGGTGGCCATGGGTTCCCAGGCCTCTGGGGCCTTTATCCGAGATGAGGCGCATCTCAGTCAGAAAGCGACCCGGCTGCACTTGCCCAGGAAGCCAGGCAGGCCTGGAGGGGCGGCTGTGGTGGACAGGGGAGGACAGAAAGGCAGGCTGGCCAGCCACCGGCTTTGATCCTCCACACCAGAGGCCGGACAGGCTCCTCATCTGTTGCTGCCCCACCCACCCGAGCTCAGACCAAGCATCTGCCTCCTGGCAGGAAGGGGACACGTTCCTGTCGTTGCTCATGGGGGTCGCCCTAGCAGTGAGGCTAAGGGGGACACATACCGCCTCTCAGCCCTTGAGAAACATGAGAACAAAGGCCTTCGGGAAGCTGCCGCTCCTCTGGAAGGTGACAAAGGACGGCACTGCAGGCTCCTCGCACACTCAGCATGCACCAACACACCTGGCACACGGAAGCCGTGCTCTTCACAGTCGGCGCGACTCGCGCCTCCCTGCCATGGCCGCTCCTGCCAGCAGCCTGCTTTCTAAGTGGGCCTCCAGTGCAGGACACTGGTGCCGAAAAGGACCGCGTGTGTACCTGATCCTGGTCTCCAGAGGATGGCCGTGACAAGGTGCCCCGGGGAAAAGCATGGCTTCGGAAGCCTGGAAGCCAGCGCAGGGAGGGCCGAGACTCACCTGCACTGACACCAAGGGCAATGCTCCACACAGGCTGCTGTCTTTTCTCTTCCCACTTTTCCTTCTTTGTTTTAGATTGCCAGAGGGTGTGTGCACTTGCAAGAGAGTGAGGGACAGGGAGAGCGTGGGAGGGACACCCCACGGGGTGCGGTCACACTGCAGTCTCTCCTCTTCCACTTCTGCACCCCACTGGGCACACACATGCGCTCAGCACGTTTTTACACCGTGAGGGATCTGCCTCCCCTAACTACCAGCTACAGGGTTAAGGGAGTTGCCGCATTTTCTAAGGAGACTGGGCAAAATCTAAATTGTAACACAATAATGCTCCAAACACTTCCTGTTATAGAACAGGTTTTTTGTTTTTGTTTTGTCTTTTACATTAATAATTGGGCAGAGGGCACATGTGCTCACCAGACAGAGAGAGAAAGAGGGAGGGGAGCAAGAAAGCAGCCTCCCTCGCATGGGGTATGGAACACCACAGTCCCTTCTCCATTCCTCTCTTCTTTGGGGACCTTAGACACGTGCACTCGGTGTGGTTCTCAAGCCACCAGGTCTGGGACTTGAACTGGACACTTGGCCATGTGGGATCCAGCCACGCCAACCACCACACCGGTAGCTGGCCCCAGTGAGCTTTGAAGACGTGACACATGACCTCATTCTCTCTGTTATCATCCAGTTCTTTTTTTAAAGAATTTATTTAACTTTATTTATTTTTCATTTGACCAGAGAGAGAGAGAGAGCCATCAGTTCTGGGACTCGAACCGCAGCTGGCCATGTTGGAGCCCAGCGCCCCTGACCGTCACACCACCTGCTGGTCCCTCATCATTCAATTCTCTCCCAATCCGTGGGGATTAAAAATTAAACTGAGTGCTCGCTTCGGCAGCACATAGACTAATACTGAAACGATACAGAAAGGATTAGCGTGGCCCTTGCACAAGGCTGACCCGCAAGTTGGTGAGGCGTTCCGTACTTTTAGGGTGAAGGAGGAGGGACTGAGGAGACACTGGGGAGAGAAGTGGGGGGACAGGCATTTGTGGGACAGAGAGATGGTTACTGCCCGTCGAGGAGGATGTGTATGGTATTCCCAACTGGGTCGGCGAGAAATGGATACATGTCGGAATATTCGCTTTGCAAGCTAAGTGACATCTGTGATTGAGTGTATAAAAGAAATTGAAATAAAATATATTTAAAAAAAAGTAAATAAAAAATTAAACTGAACAGGAGACAGGATGAATTCACGTGAGAGGCCCTGACGAGCGAGTGCGGCATGAACGCTGCCAGCTGCCACATCGGAGAGCAGGGGCCGGCAGGAGCGGGCACACAGCCGCAGCCCTTCCCTGTACAGACGTCCCGCAGGAGACCCTGACCTGAGACAGCCCGCACTACCAGCCTGTGTGGCCTCGGCTGCTGGCTTTCCCTTCCCCTCGAGGTGGAGGTGGCGCCTGCTGGACCCTGCGCCTCTCCGGCAGAGCCCTCACAGCATGTAGTCCCCACCTGGACACCAGCCTCTCAGAAACGCAGACAAATGCTGGAGAGCAGCGTGCAAGAGAAGCCTGGGGAGGGAGACCCCATGGCTTCAGGGAGATCAGACACACACAAGCATACCTGCGCCTCTTAATATTTAATTACTTAAATAATGTAAACGAAACTCTCACCTTCCTGGTTGTAGGCCAAGGAAACTCCCTGCTCTAATCCCTTCACAAACATAACTGTCACCAGGGTTTCGGCCAGGACAAGACGTGCCCTTGGACGACTTGGGGCCTAGCCGCTCCCTTAATCCAAGCCTTTAGTCAAACAGTAGTGAAGTGCAGAACAGAGCAGATTCTTTCAAAGCAGTTCATAAATAAGAAGGCAAAAATGTAATCAAAACTAGCCTGGCATAGAGCCAAATTGCCAGGTTGGGAAAATCAGAGAAATTTCAAAGAGCTTGGACCTATCAGGAAAACAAACCCAACAAACTCTGAAGGTTCCAACAAACTAGTCAAAGACACGTGGCCTAACCTCAGACTGCGGTCCTGGACCGCCATCCTGCACCTCAACCCCCATCCTGGCGTGTCAGAAGTCAACCATTTTCGGCACCAGCAGCTGGCATATTGGCTATGTCACTGGACTCCCATGTAGTCAACCGCGGTTCGCGTCCCGTACCCAGTGGCTTAAAACTCACGCCAGGCGCATGTGTGTGTGTGCCCAAGATCCCGAGAGGAGAATGGAGGAGAAGGGATTGCGGTGTGGCCATCCCCCCTGGGGGGTGATTTCTCGCTTTCTATCTGTCTGTTTTTCCAGTGAGCACACAAGCCCTGTAGCAAAGATCTCTCAAAAAGAAAACATACGAATCAGGGACTTTCCCTGTCTGGATGTGGCGTTCTCCCTCTGCCACGAATGGCGCTCTTCTAACGGTCAGGGATAGGACTGCCTCATTATTTTGAGACAGTTCTATCATCTTAGATGAAACTACTTTGAAATAAAGGAAAAAATTCAGTGTTAACAGAATAAAGGAACCGGCAGTTAACGTAATGGCTGTCGCTGGACTCCCACGTAGTTGACCGCGGTTCGAGTCCCAGACCCGGTGGCTTAAACTTACTCAGGGTGCGTGTGCGTGCGTGCTCAAGATCCCAAGAGGAGAATGGAGGAGAAGGGATTGTGGCATGGCTATCCCTCCTGAGGGGGTGATTTCTTGCTTTCTGTCTCTCTGTCTCTGTCATTCTGGAGAGCATAGGTACCTTATAGCAAAAACTTCTCAAAAAAAAAAAAAAAAGAAAAGGATAAATAAAATAAAAACTCCACCAAAGCAATCACTGAGAGCTAAGATGCTGGCGAGAGTGACAGGGAAAAGACCAGGAAGCAACTCGAAGGGCGAGCCAACACGTGAGGGGACACGGTCAGACACTGCGGGATGGCACGGAGGGCCCTGGGGGCCGCCTGGCAGTTACTAGCTGAGCACAGATACAGTCAGCACAGCAACCTCACGCTGGCTCCGAAGGCAGCGTCAGTGTTTCCTCACGCACAGATCGATGTACACTTGCTAGGCAGGTACGGCCTGCCTCCAAGTAAACTGCTGATATAAGCAGACTAAAAGGTCACTTTGCCTTCTTTATGTTCAATATCTTCCTCTAAATTTAGGCAGCCAGAGTCGGGATCCCCGTGTTACAAGGGCACAGCCCCAGGGCTCACGTGCAGCTCTGTGGAAGCTGCTGCAATCACGCCACACCACACTGTGGTTCGATGACAACAGCGACGTCCGCTCTCCTCCACTGCAAGGCCACGAGGCAGATGGAGGCCAGGAGGCTTTTCTCCTGCTCCTTCCCCACGCTTCGACCCCAATCCTCATTTTGCACAAGAGGTTTGCCACTACCTGACCAGGAACGAACGTCCCCAATGACCAGGACCCCAGTGATAGGCTCCCGTAGGTTTTACCACACCATTTCCTCACACTGTCTGGGAAGGCTCTTTGCTTGACCCTGGGACACTTTGCTCTGACTTCTACATGGCTCCAGCACTTACTGTTTTAAACTTTACTTATTATTATTTAATTTGCTATAGGGGGTATGTACTCACCAGAGAGAGACAGCAGGGGGCCGGGGTGTGGGGAGAAGGCAAGTGGCCAGGCCCAGGACTCAAACCGCAGTCGCTCGATGGGATCTAGCGCCTTAACCAGTACACCGCCTGCTGCTGTGTTAATTTTATTATTATTATTATTATTATTATTTGCTATAGGGCACTTGCACTGACAGAAAAAGGCAGACAGAGGGGAAGTGAGAAAGCAAGCTGCCACATCCAGGCCTTTAACTACGGTCAGCCATATAAGGAGTCCAGTTCTGTAACCGCCACGTCACCACGTCCCGCCAGCACGTAACTCTATCTCTCTATTTTTTTTTTAAAGAGAGATTTTTGGTATAGGGTGCATGTGCTCTCTGGAGAGACAGAGACAGAGAGACATAAAGTGAGAAACCTCGCTGTTCTCCTCCATTCCCCTCTCAGGACTTGGGGCACGTATGCACACGAGCCCAGCCTGAGCTCTAACACATCAGGTCCAGGTCCAGGGCTCGTGCTGCGGGGACTACTAGGTAAGAGTCCAGTGACGCACCGTCCCGCCATCTGCTGGTCCCCAGTACTTAACTCTTAGCATGATGTCTGTCTTTCTATTTTTTAAAACTTTATTTATTTGTTTGTTTGTTTGTTTATTTGATGAGAGAGACAGAGAGAGAGTGAGAAAACAGGTAGGCAGGTCCAGGACTCGAACCTCAGTGAGCCATTTGGGAGTCCAGCGCCCTTACCACCATGTCATATGCCAGTCCCTTAACATGGTGTCTTTCAAAGGAGAGAGAGTAGCTGGATCCCACAGACTAAACCAGGAATACCAGATACTCAGAAAGCAAAGAACAATTAACTTTCTGCTTTTCTAACAGGTGTGGCTTCCCAAACAGGGAAAACACATGGAAAGCATGTAGTCAACTGATATTTAAAGTGAAACACAATAAGGGCCATCAGGTGGCGTGGTGGTTAAGGCACTGGACTCACAAGTGGTTGACCAGAGTTCGAGTCCTGGACCTGGAAGCTTGAAACTCACTCTGGGTATGTGTGTGTGCATGCCCAAATCCCAGGAGGAGAATGGAGGAGGAGGTGCATGGTCATCCTCCCCTCCTGCCCCCCCCCCGGCGGGGGGGGCCCCGGCGGGGGGGATCCTACACTTTCTCTCTGGTGACCGTACATGCCCTATAGCAAAATAATCTCTCTAAAAAGTAAAATAAAATAAAACACAGTCTGTCCTCCTTGAGTAGCTCTAGATCTGCTGATATCCAACACTTTCTCCTCATAAATTATTTCCGACTGGCAAATGGAGAAACTCAAGCTCCTAGGAACAGGTGTTTGCAAGCCGGTGGCTGAGTGGTGACCGAGACGCGGGACCCAGGCTCTGACCACACTCGGACGCTGTGCGGCTACCATGAGGGCTCCACTTTCCACGGGCCAAGTGCATACTTTCAAAATGAACACAGAAGTGAGGGCGGGGCCGGCAGGTGGCGTGGGTTAAAGGTGCTGGACTCCCGCATGGCTGACTGCAGTTTAGGTCCCGGACCTGGCGGCTTGCTTTCTCACTTTCCCTCTCTCTCTCTCACTCTGTCCCTCGCTGGTCAAATGAAAATAAATGAATAAATAAAGTTAAATAAAATAATTCTTTAAAAAAATACACAGATACAAGCCAAATCTCTTTCTGCTCCACGGCGTAAGAGCAGAAATCTGGGATGCTCGCACTTCTCAGCCCGGTCTCTAGCCCCCACTTTCTCCGAGTCAGGAAACACTGTCCTTTGTCAACACAAGATGTGAAAGGCTTGCCGACTTCCACAGGTGAACGTTCTAGATCGAGGTGCAGGGGCCTTTTCTTCCCACCGTCCCTCTCTCCCACTCAGCCTCCAAATTACACACGGCAGGGCCACCAAGGTGGAGCCCTGGTTTGGCTGACAGGGCAGTGACATGCACGTGGTGACGACGGGGGATCTCACGGGCTCCAGACTTGGTTCCCAATTATGAAATTGATGTGTGGATGGGCACGACCACCGACAAGCCCCAATTAAAGAAAAATTAAAATGTGGCAGGCAGGATGAGAGGTTAAAATCGACCCATTTGTTATGATACATAGCTAATTAAAATGTAAACTTTTACACTTCTGAGAGTGAAGATCCCAAACACTGAAGTACTCAGTAACACGAGCTCCCACCATCCCGTAATGCCGACAGTTCTGAGATCACACCACGCCTTTTCTCTCCGTGACCGTGAAGTATCTCGGCAGCCCGCACGACTCAGCACCTGGCACACAGGTCTTCAGCACGGAAGCCTGACAGATCCTACAGGGTGTGCAGCAGGAGCGCAGTGACTTACAAGGGGCACTCAGGACAGGGCGCCTCGACGCCACCGGTCAGAATCACAGACTGGGAGGGGAGGGCGGCGGCCCTGCCTGGTTTTCAGTGTGCTGGGCCCA